TCTCTCTCTCTCTCTCTCTCTCTCTCTCTCTCTCTCTCTCTCTCTCTGTGTGTGTGTGTGTGTGTGTGTGTGTGTGTGTGTGTGTGTAAATAGTGTCAGATCCCATGAAGCTGGAGTTCTATGAGGTTGTAAGCTGCCAAATGTGGGTGATTTAAAAGTGACCTTGTAGGAAGGCCAGCTAGGTGCTTCTGAAAACCGAGGCAGAAACCAGTGAACATGGGTCAAAGTGGACATTCATGACAGTGGACATGTGTAACTTTACCTTCCTTTGTTTTATAATTCTGTCCAGAACTTAAAGTGACCCCCTGACTTGCTTATAAAAAGATTGAGATAATAAATACATATAATAATAATAAATGCTAAGTCCAGAAAACCCCTTTAAAGGTGAAGCAATGAAAGCAAACAATGATCACTTCAACCTGTGTGAAACCCAATGTGCTAACACTGAGCAGACTGAAACACACAATCCAGTCTTCCCTTGCCTTCTCTCTCCTTTTTAAAAACAACAAAAAAGTGTTACTGGAGAATGAGTCCAGGGCCCCATCGAGTGCTAGGCAAGCAGCCTACACTGAGCTCAGCCCAGTCCCACCCACCATCCCTAATGGGTCCTTTCTGGGAAAATGTAAGTTCTGGCCTGGATCCCAGAACCAAAGACAGCCCAGGGCTGGACCAGTTCATCCCTCCTTCAGCCCATTATCACTGGCTACAAGAACAAGCAGAAGGCATTCAAAACAGATGTGTGTGTGTGCGCGTGCATGCTCATGCTCACACACACACACACACACACACACACACACGACTTTTTCCTTATAACTTACTCAGCCTCAAGTATTTTATTACAGTACCACAAAAAAAAAAAAGCAAGATGGGAAAACCAGGGAGCTGTGACAAAGAACAAGACACAGTGGATTTCCCTAAGTCAGTCACTTCCTGGGTCCCAGCACCATCGACCTTTAAAGAGAGGAGAGATATATACTTATATTCTATAACACCCACTTTAAAACATCTAAAATGTAAAAAGGGCTCACCAGAAAGTGAAGCGCTGCCTGAACTTGCTCCAGAGGAATTCTCTCTGGATTACTGAGGGGCAGAGAATATCCAACCTGGCCCTCAGCACAAAGCTCTGATTATCTGGCCCAAGCAGTACTGAATACATAAGAACATTGATAAACACTAACCATTAGCTTTTTTGAGTTTTCATCATAGGCCCTGTTTCCCTGAGTCAAAGATGGTCTTTGTTATGTTGTCTTAATGGAATGCAAGAGACTTTAGTCACTTCCTCAGAAACCAACCTAGACTATAAATACAAACTCACCAACACAGTCAGCCACTCACAAAAAGGCCCACTGGCAAGTTTAATTTAAAAACAAGAGCTCGTTATTAAACTGAAAAATAAGAAATAAGAGACCCAAACCCATATAAACAACATGTCTAGAAGAAAAATCCTCAGTGTGCCAATAAGCACAGCTACAAATTGCTTTTTATTTGGCTCATAAACCTTTTTTACATAGAGATTATAGAAGAAAAAACAATCTGTATTTGTGTCCATCCAATAAAACAAACCCTGATCTTTCCACAACCTCAGGATTACAAGAAAATGCTCTAAGCCCTTAAATAAGTGACTTCTATGCCACCCTTTAAAAGGGCTCATTCATGACAGCTAATCTAAGTCCCTTTGCTGGTCTAAGGCCTGATCCCATGCTAAGCAATGAATAGAGAGTGAAGCTAGTGTCTTCACAGTACCTCAAGCTCCAGGCGTGACTAAAGTGCCCAGGGCAGGGTCTCTACATAACCAAATGTGGCTTACCATCTATTTGGATAAATACAATTTTGCTTGGAATACAGCTGTGTCCATGTATCTACATACTGTCCACAGCTGCTGCTTGCAAGATGCAATGCCAAGACTGAACAATATCAACAGAGACTGTATGATAGACCAAGTATAAACTGTTTAGTATCTGGCCCTCTAAGAAAAAGTTTTCGGGAGGCCTAGGTCCAACCCGTGTGTGTTCTTTGGTTGGCCATTCAGACTCTGAGCGTCCCAAGGGTCCAGGTTAGTTAACTCTATTGGTCTTCCTGTGGAATTCCTATCCCCCCTTGGGGCCCGCAATCCTTCCTCCTATTCTTCCATAGGAGTCTCCAAGCTCTATCCACTGTTTGGCTGTGGGTATCTGTATCTGTATCTGTCTGAGTCAGCTGCTGGGTAGAGCCTCTCAGAGAACAACAACCTCCCCACATCTACGTAGCAGATGTGCAGCTTGGTCTTCATGTGGGTGCCGAACAATTGGCACAGGAGCTATCCCAAATGCAGTTGCTTATATGTGGGATATGTTCTTCTAGCTGGGCTGCCTTGTCTGGCGTCAGTGGGAGAAGAAGCATCTAGCCTTGAAGAGACTTGAGGTGCCAGACTGGGGGGATATCCAGGGGGACCCCATCTGCTCAGAGGAGAAGGAGGGAGATGGGGGAAGG